TCTGTGCCTTTGTCCCTAATGGCTAAACCTTGTCACTTTACTACACCTAATCTGTAAACCAAAAATCTGGTGAACAGAGCCACAACTCTCCAGTCTACTGATTTTGCAAAATATCTCCTCACTCATTTCATCCTCCCCAGAATGCTGAGGTTAGAGAGGCTGGTGATGCCTCCCAAGCATTTCAGATTTTAGAAACATGAACTTTTTTCTTCCTCAAGGTGGCAGTAGACCTTCAGGTATTCACAAGCCACAGAGGAGTGGGCCATCATGTGTGTATGTACTTGTGTGTTCTGTAGACCTGATAAATGACATTTGCATTAAGTTACTTTCCCCCTGTGGAATGGAAAATTCTCCGGGAAACAACATATTCTATCATCCTACGGTTTGTGTGATATTTCCCAAATTGAATATGTAAATAGCAACATCCTTCTTAATGGCTAACATAATACTTTCTCATTTATAGTTACATGGTTGGTCTGTGCTGATAAACACAGGAACTATAACCTCACATAAATCAGATTTGTGCAGATGTGTAGGCCCTATCAATCACAGGAAGTGAGCTGTTTTAATGTTGACAACTTGAACTTACTGGCACGTACGTAGCACACGATCTGCACTCTCCAGGGAAAACAACAGGCTCTCCAAAGCTCTAGCAGCCTCTGTTTCCCCCCTCAACAACCAATCTGATACATGGGATCAAAAAGGAGCTGTGTGAATTCTGCATGAATAAATCATTCAGTTCTCTCACTTCATTTGACGTTTCTTTTCTTCTCCCTTTCTGTCGTCCATCTCTGTAGGAGTTTGAGAAGAGGAAAATGCTGTAAAATGTGTGAGAAGGTGCTCGACCTTTTACCCGTTGCCCTAAAAGTGAGATGAACAGCCTGATTCTGGAGGTGGTTATACCCTACAGTAACAGAGATCATTTGAGCTACAATGTGCACATACTCTGTTTATATTGTAATTTATACCATGAACTTGTACCTTGCAAAGAAGGAATAAATCCTAGTGTCTTAATGGTGTCCTAAAGAAGTTATTGTAAACAGTTTAAAAACTAAACAGGTTTCCTCCACAACAATGTCAACAGCTGAAGGAAGGATACCATGCTAACCTCATCCTGCTGTGCTCAAGCTGTAAGACATATCCCATCACTCATTCCACTGGCTGTCCATGTGAATAAGAAACATTTCTCCTATCTTTTTTTTCCACTTTGTTGTGTCTTATACAGTTGTTTTTTTCTTCACATGGCACATTTGAGAAACAGATGTGGTCACTATACGACAAGCTTGTCTGTCTCCACATTTCTTGCATGTTAAAGTAACATAAGGAGCATAAAACTTAGCATATGTAAGGGAACAGAACAGAATATGTGATATCAAATGTTTCTAAGCTTTTCAGCACCAGCTGTGCTACTTCCACGTTGTCTGTACAGATTCAAATACGAAATCAAATGCCTTCAAGCTAAATATCAGAATGTTAAGAGTTTCTGAAAACTGTTCTGGGTTATATAGTCTGTAATTATAGTATTTGGTTTTAGTCAGGCTTCTATAATGTTAAGACTATTAAGACGAGAAGCAGTAGACAGTCAAACAGTACTCATTGGTCATTTGGAGAGTCGTTTTAAGGCCATCTCCTTTTTTTTTTTTATTAATGTCATCTGGCAGAGTTTAAAGTGCTCTGCAAAAGAGGCATAATTTTATGATAGTTGTAAGGGGGTCAGGGGCACAAATATGTTTCTTGAATGAACCGTGTGAACTTACTCTCTTTTAGCAAACTCTCTCGCTCTAAGAGATTTTATTCCCCTTCATTAACTCTCTTTATGGAATGAAAGGATGTACAAGCCTCAGAACAAAATGCCAGAGAGGATTAAAGGGTCCAGTGGAGAAGAGCTATTGTGATTGACTAAGGCTGGCATGTTCCCAGCTTACTAGTCTGTTAGCAGTTAGGTTGGCAACTATAGTAGTTCACTAACCAGTCCTGTGACTAGGCACTACAGCACTAAGCTACTACTAGAACTCAATACTTGGGCTTCTTTTGGGCAATATAATGAATTTAATTATATTAACTTGGACTTCTATAAACCTATAAATAAATCTAGAAAACACTGACAGGTAACTCTGGAAATAATTATTAGTTACTATTCTAATTTATCTTCCCAACAGTTCCACACTATAGGATAATATTTAAAATGTTTTTTAAGTGTCTTTCATAAAAAGTATTGTTCTTGACATTGCCTTATTGGTTTCATAGAGGGGAAAAAACTAGAGAGTTAAAATGTAAAATTACTACCGACAACTCACTTTATGAACATGCAGTCTGTGTGAATATTCAGTGGAAAGTTTCAGGTTAGACTCTAATTAAGACAAACCTCCAAGTTCCACGGAAACAGTATAGGTTAAATTAACATCTCATTACTGTACACAAGGTGAAATTAGACTGAGTGGAGGAAAATGAAAGGGGAAGATAAGGTTACAGTTGGTTCTGCTTCCACAGAATCTTTTTATATTAACACACTAGGAACAAAAAAGTGTAATGAAGCATGTAATGCCCTACACTGGACATCTCTACAGCCTATTCTTATCTGCTTCACAGCAGTCAGCCAAGGCAGATTATTCTGTGTACACATTGTTAACAATTACTTTTTAATCTGCATTAGTGAATTAACATAATGACTGACAGTGGATCAGAAAACTTGTTTATTTATTGGCTCAGAAGTTCCGTCTTGTGCTGAAGTTGCCAAGCCTTATTCTGCTTTGGTGTGTCTCATATAAGATGTAAAAGAGGCCAAAGTTTGCCTTCTGGTGGTGCTTCACTGCTGTTTTTAGCTTTATACAACTTTACTCTAATTAAGGACAGATTCAAAGTGAAAGTTTCTGTCAACCTGAAAATAAACACTTTAAATTGGTAGCATTAAAGAACACCATTGTTGAAGTTGCACAAAATGAAGTTAGTTTGCTGCTGCACCATGTGAAGTCAACCACAAGATGTGCTTTTTACTTAGCAAGAGCCACACAAAGCATGACATCTTAAGATTCATTGATTGAACTCCATTAGTGTCGATCAGTTAGATCTTCAATCACTGGATTGATGCATCCCACAGTGGTCGATACTCCACCTTGCTAAATCAGATCATGACATTTTTGATAGCACTCATCAGAGAAAACTTTCTACAGTGCTGTATTACATGTGTTTGCCAATATCCTAGAGTATGTTTTACATGGGTGGCCCTATATATATACTGCATTCCAGTTCAGTGCTACATATTGTAGGTTTATGTTCAACCTAGAAAAGAAGAAATATAGTATGCTTTAAAAAGCTGGTCCGTATGAAGTCTGGATTGGCCTTAATAGTATGAGTGTGCTGTTGATTGGGGAAGCAATTCCAGGAGACAAATAAACTGCTTGAACTACAAAAAAACCAAAGCCGCATGCTATGAAATTGTGTGAGGGTGGATAACAGAGTCGGGCCAAAGTTTGGTATCTGTATTTGTTTCCCTCAAGATTTCAATCATTAAAGTTTGAATGTTGCCAGTTTTTGTGAGAAAGCGATAATTGTAGTACCTCTGATGTGACATTAAAGTAGCTACAGGATCAGTGGAATTTTTTTAAATGTGTTTATTATTTCCAATGCCTTCTCATTCCCATGGTGCCAAATACTGCTGTGTTGTCAAGTATTTTTTCCATCTCATACCTGCGCTAAAAGGTGCCTTTGACATTCATATAAGACACACATGGGGTTTTCATTATGTTTAGGCATAAAAATGATGTTTAGGCATAAAACGATGTGATGGTATTTAGACACAAAAAACTGCATGGTTATGTGTAGGAAACTGTCGTGGCTTCAGTTAAAACACTTGCAGACTTACAAAACCAGAAGCAAACTCCACTCTCGATGTGTCTTTGACCCATCATCCACCTCAGCGACCTCCCTGTGCAGTCTTTCTTCCTTCACACAGTACAAACAATTCCTCTGGCTGTCAAATACTGATGCAAGTAGGTATTCGATTGAAGATTTTGTACATCTCGTATGTCCTGCTTAAGGTACTTGGCATGTCGTCAGTATTTGATGCCAAGGAATGAGGATGAGCTGGTAATTCTAGATTTATCAAGGCTACAAGGAGAATGGTATTGGTCATTTCTGGGACATGCCAGATCACATTTACTGCTTTAAAAAGTTCTTTGTGCTTAAGTGGGAACACACCACTACTTAAGTATCTGGTTAAAAGAGAAAAGTGCTTGTGCTTTTGATGAAATACTTGTAGGTCTGCAAAAGTAAATTGGCCTGCAGTTGAGAGCACTCGGTTTACTCCAAGATAACTTTTTCCCCTTCAGATCTTGGTTTAACTGACTTTGAATTAGTGATAAAAGTTGCTTTTTAGAGCAAAATTCACAGAACCACTTTCAACTTTTGACTTCACTGACAAAACAGCACTGATGACTGACACTGATGACATCCCTTTGTCCAGAGGATATGGAGAGCTTGGGCTGACAGTTTATTCACTCTGACCAGAAAGTTAACTTTATTCAAAAAAAGCCATGAATGACCAACTGACAATCACCCACAAACCTACGGCAAAGGCCTCATTACCAAGATAGTGTGGACTTCAACCGAGTCAATCGTTTGAGTTGAAGAAACAAGAATATTCCTCGGAGCAGACAGCAGTCCTAATGAACTCAGCAGGGTACTCTGCAAGTGTCCTTGCACACACAGCAACACCTTATGACTAATGTATGTGAGGAGAGGTTGAACAGTGCCAAAGTGCCTTGTATTTAATTCACTCATTTAATTAAATGGCTGCTAATGAAATAGACAGGATATATTAAAAGCTACAGTAAGAGCTTTTTTTTTTTTTCAAAAATTTCCACACTGTTCAGGGATGAGTAGACGCTAACATGCTGTGCATGGTGGGTCATTAACATTGAAATGTAACAATAGCATTGGCTGCCCCCTGCCAATCAGGATAATTCTGTTTTTTGTACCAAAACGTTGTGCAACTGGGAAGCTGTGCAGGCACAGGTTAGATGTGTTGACTCTGTTTCTAATTACCTGGTTTGGTGACAGCAGGTCTCAGGGAAGTGCTCATCTATTCACCGTCACATATTGCTCATTTTAGCATGAAAGTGCCAGCGACCATTGTCAGATTGTTTTATTGATACCACTGAGCCTACCTGATGCTGCAAAGTCTACTTGGCCCGATCTCCATTAAAGCATTGGAGAACAGTCCTCAGGACAAGAAATAAAACCAAGGGGCTTGACAGTAGCAATTTGCATGAGGCAGTATTGTTTTAATAGAACCACTGACTTGAAATTGCTTTGGGAATTGAGGGCAAGAATGAGCACAGAAGAGAGGATGTATAGGGACCTTGGAACAGAGCCCCATCCATTTTTTTGTTTGTTTGTTTTGTTCTTGTTTTGGTTTGTTTTTTTTCTCCAGTCAGCATTGGATAGGTTTTTCTTCACAAAGGTTTTATTTGTCTGGTTTATGATGATAGAAAGACACAGGACGGTGTTTTATACAGACAGTGAGCTGCTGCATTTTAATAGTTAATGTATTGATGAATTCTTGGCATCAACACCTGTTCAATGACTACAGCAAATAAAAAGGCCTTGATTTTATTTAGTCTAAAATAATTCATAAAAATATTCCCTGGCTTGAGTTTTAAGCTGTTTTTGGTATTGGGTGCCTGTGAGTTTCTCTAAGTTGGAATCACTGCTTTATTAATGGTTAATAAATTGCTGATTAATGCCTTTTAGATCTGTTACAAGGCATCAACAATACTTAAAGGAAAGGTTTGACATTTTGATCACTGTCACATTCCTATTATTAAATATATGGTTATAGCCAGTGACTGATTAGCTTAGCTTAGCACAAAGACTGGAAACTCAAAGAAACAGCCTGATTCTGTCTTAAGGGGGAAGATCTGCTTACCAGCATCTCTGAAACTAATTAACTTGTAATATCTAGTTTGTTTGAAAGCAGATGTTCAATCTATTCCTTTAGAGAAAATATTTTATTTTCATGGCTTCCACCATCTATTTTCTTATGATAAGATCCTACTCACCAAAGTAATTACTGAGATTTTGGAACACTGATTACTTGCAGTATTACCAAAGTTAGGTCCAACTGGGGCAACGGAAACATGTAGTCACACAATCAAACAGGGTGTAACCAAAAGGTTGGTTAGATTAGCTACCATATTTGAAGGTAAACCTTAAAGTGAGTGCATCTTTATGAACCCTGCCAACCTCCAATCTGTGAGAACAGCACTGAGGGGGGAAAAAAAAGAAAAGTAGAAATTTGTCATGTGGAACAACCAAAACTGTTCTAACTTTTACAGAAAATCATGTGGTGCTCATCAATCCCAGTAAGATGTTGGTTGAGAAAATTGATTTCAAGCTCTTTAACATTTGGAAAAATGGCTGCTGTTTGCTATTTGTTAATATCTTATCAACATTTGCAACTGCAGAGTTGATTGATAATCCCTTAACAACAATTAATAACTTACCACTGTACAAAACTTCTGATGGCTCATATGAAATGTGTTACAAAGAGATGTACAGTATGTACCTTTTTTCAAATATTTTAGTTGTAGCAATCTGCTCCAAAACTTGTCTTAATGTGGAGAGATGCTGTTGAAGCCTCCTGTAACCCAGACTCACTGAACAGCGCTGGCAGCGGTGCACAGGTACTAGCTTCTAAAATGTTTTGAGCAGGATAGACCTCTCCAACCAGTCTAAGATTTTCAGTTATTTCTGCTTGATTAGTAAGTTTTGTTGCATTCTCATTTATTGTAATTTCATAAGACAAATATCTGAAGAGTGTGGCGGATAGTGGAGCATAGTGGAGCAGGGAGAGGGAGCGCTGGCCAGAGCCATGTGGATTGATTTAGAATTTCATGCTAGTGCTACCTTAAGCTACATATTGTAACATTAAGTTTTGTTCAATTTTAAATTATTTTTTAATATCTTGTCTCAATGTCCTTTTGACTCATGCAGAGTACTTCAAAATGCCTTGTTAAATGTGGTATTCACATAATCTTGCTAATAGCTTATTAATGTTCTTTAACACTAGTAAATGAGGTAAAGGAATTGGGTGTAACAAACAATTTGTAAAGAAAAAAAATAAGTGAAAGTAAGGCTGTGTTTTAGTCCACAGTAGAAGAAAAGTGTAGATTTGCAAAAGGAGAAATGAGTTGTAACCTGTCTCCATTGGGGGCCATGTAATGACTGTAATGGCGAACTTACATGCTGGGTTATCATGTCCAACCAGTCGGTGGTGTGGCTCCTCATTAGGATTCCTCCCAGTGGGAATGCCAGCAGTGCGGGCTAATCCCAGGGAGAGATAGGATTTGATTTGCAGGGATACATTTGGTGATATGAACATGGGTGACCTTTAGTTTAGTTGTCGGCCACATATGGTGTTTGCAAAAATAGGAGCAGAACTGGATATGAAGTCTAAAAAGCAGAATTAGGCTGTGACAGGACCATTACAATTCCTATCATGTGTGCCTTGGTATCATGAACAATCTGCCCCCAACATTACCCTGTTCTGTCATCTTTATTAATGCCAGAGTTTATTCATTTTTTTTTTCTTTCAGTTGGCCAAAATCACAAAAAGCATGAGCCTGGTTACACAGTACTCATGCTATTCATGTTGCTCAGCTGTAAACAGACTGTAGTACAGAGGGATATATAATGAATTTAAGTTCCTCAGAGATTTTAATGATTATTTACATTTAGTTTGTTGGTGTTGCCAGAGGTTTTGCTCTTTATATATCATGATTAGCAGCTCCGGATGAAGCCTCAGGACACAAGATGCTGCAGAACATGAGGTGCATCATAAAGTGCAGATTTATCTTTTAAAGGATCAGTAAAACCTGTACAGAAAAGCTTTTTTTGACTGTGTCATGGTTTTATTGATCCACTTGTTGTCATTTTGTGGACATTTATTGTCAAGTTTGGCCTGTTCACCTGCTGTCCTCTGCAGAGCCCCTCTGGTCCTTCATAAACACAGCCCCACTGATAAAGATATTGAAAC